GGAATGGTGAAAGAAGAGAGAAACAAAATTTTCATTATTGGTATACTCATAGAATATCATTAAAAAAACAAATGTCTTTTATTTCCTTTTTTATTTGTTGAATATACAAATGTTCAGTCAACTTTCATAAAGGAGGCCGCGGTCATGCAAAGGCTGACGGAGAAAATACAGAAACGGGGAAGACGGGTGACAGTGGAGCGGTTCAAACTCGGGATTTCTGGTTTACAAAGGACGATACAACATCGTTCAATGGTAAATGGAAAATATGCGCCTGATCTATTCACAAGTGACTGAAAGCTTGAAAGTGACCGAGCTCGGACTCAAGAATTTTGCTTCCGAAATTCTGGAGTACCGTCATTCATACACTGATTGACTTATCAGTTCAATGACTAAATTCACTTCCTACGCTATTTTCTGACTCCTATCTTCTCTCCAGGCAGCTGATCAGGCGGAGTGGGTGACACGCTTGCGTTCTGCCTGTGAGGTCTCGGGTTAGATCGCCAGTTGGATCGATGGATTCGCACTGCTCGGATGAGACCCAACCAGTTCGAAACAGCTGTCCAATGCTTGCTAGATTTTCATTTCATGGTTCATTTGCTCAAAGCACGACAAATTCACCTTTGAAATTGCACCAAATTCTCCATTAATCACTTGATTAATTGTTCTGCTCTCCAACACGTCACCAGTTGGACCAGGCCTATTAAAATCCCCGTTCAAGAGAGAGAGAACCTCTGCCTGAGTGGAAATTAATCAATATGATTTCTCAATTTAAGTTATCCCAGTATCAATTGAAGATATCATGTTGCTATGTGATAGTACGGTAGTGCGATCGCTCCATCGTTTCACATTGTCTTGCACGCTTTGTGATTACCTTGTTTTCACGTACAGTCCAGGTGAAGACACGTCTGCTATACAGTCGAAGTTCACTGGACCTGCTAAAGGCTCGCGGTTGTAGACAAGGTGTGGTTTCCCGCTCGGGTTAGTTAGGCAAGCGCCAGGTCTCTTGTTGCGGTGACCTATCCGACCGATCGATCGATAAATGAACCTGATCGGTCGTGTGATTTTCGGGTCGGTATAGGAGAAGGATAAGTTCTGAATCCGATGCTGCTTAAGTGTTGGCAGAGGATCACCACAGGAGAATCAGTTTTGGAGCAATGCGACATGCGGTAAATTCCGAATGGAAAAAGTTCAAACGATGATGACGCTGGGCCAACGTTTGACTCGTCTAAGATACAAACACTAATTTTCTAAGCGGGTTCGATAAACGGACTCCATTTCCCATAATATTTTTTCTCCCTCTGGAATTCTATTTCCCACGTAGTTAGCAAGACCGCTGAAAGCGAAAAAAGCCAGTTGGTAAAATTCCAAGAAGAGCTTTATGTTAACCTACATTAGTGGATATTGCGGTCCGTACTTGAGACAAGTTCAATTGAAAGAATTAACAGTATTTCACCTGAATAGTAAGATCAACTTCAAACCTATTTACTAACTAACAGAGATCACATTTTTCTCTGTCAGTCCCGGGATGACTATGACAGTCAATGCACAATGCCAATAGTAACGACCTGTGAACTACAGCCTCACCCTTTGTCACTCAGCTTCGTCGGATATTTTTTCATCCTTGTTGCATCATTTATCATTCGCATCGCATCTTTTCACAGCCTCACTACATCTGTTATATATAACTCATAGTTATCCATGATTCTACAAAGGATGATAGCTTTGTATTGGGCGCTTCAAGGGACATTCAGTAGAGGTAAACACAGTATTCGACCCATAGTTGTCTTAATATTGTTTAGCGACTTTCTCAAACGTGAGGAACAGTTGCCTCCATGGTGTAATCCTGTTTTCATCTCTCAACTCGGATTTATCACAGGGACACAGCGTTTATCGGCACAACTCGGACTGACTACAGCATGTTTCGACAACATATGTATAAGTCATTAGAACACAAGTAGAATGCAAGCATGACACGCACTCGGTCACCGGGCAATTGATCAAGCCATTTCTCATTTTTATACTTAATGCTGATATTGGCAAGGTGCGATGACCGCAACAAGTTCTCAAAAATGATTTATGCATTATAGTGCTACAGGGAACGCTCATAGGTGGAGTGTGGATTAATTGAGTGATTAAATCCCACAATTTTGTATGAGCGCAACACATCTGGCGGGAACAAACAAGTAAGAAAATGTTTACTTCAATGGCGAATTCAGTTTCATTTGGACGGACAGATCCGCGAAACGA